TGGGTGTGAAAAGAGGGGCATGAACACTACAAGCCCTTCTGCCTGTCACTGAACCCCACATCCTGGGAAATACGGTCGAACAAGCAAGGTTTAAAGATCCTAATACGCACACGCTCAAGAAATATGAGATACGATAATTTCCTTTTAATAATGAATGAATTCTTTTTAGTAAACAGTTTGAGCAGCACTTTGTTTATTTGTGATTGAGAAAATAACTAGTAGGATGCTTGGGGTTAAATAGGACACCAGATTTTATCACCATCATCATCAAAATCACAACCTTTCTCTGTAAAGATCCATAAAGCGATGGCGCTGATCTGTCCCGCCATGAGAACTGGGTCTCGTTATCCTAGCTCCGTTATGTGTGGTGAGCACTGACCATTCCAATACCAAGTGCACGTACAAGTATTTCGTGTCTCAACTGATATAAGCACTTACCTGGCGGGGCGGACACGTACAGCCATTAACAGTCTCTACGTCCCGATTCTGTCACAGAAAACCTTGTCCCTTACTCCATCAAATACAAAATGATGTAGGTCATGCTATGTCTGTGTAGTCGCATCCCCCACCTATTTATTCTTTAATCACACATCATTCCCGTCTTCCAATTTACATATCAGAGTCGATTGTATGTCGTTATGTGTACAAACGTATCTTCAAGTATGTGAATCGGGCTACTTGCCGGGTAATAAATAACAACTTTACGCACACTTACCTCCTTCTCGTCAGACAAGTGCCTCATTAAGGGTGACAGGTGATGAACAGGTAACACATACGATCACCTTCACACGCAGTCCCAACACACTGGTCTCTCTCTCTATAGTTTGTTTCACACTTCAACTTGTACATCCATCTCGTTTTTTAAAACACACACTGCAATTTCTTCGTGTTGGCTTTAACGTAGTAGATTTGTTACTATTACATATTCAATCCCAAATGTAAACCGCTTCATAAAATATTAGAACCCCTGTCCAACAATACCCCCTGACTTGGCTACAATAATCAGGCAAATGACTGAAGGGCCCGCTTTGTACCTACATATTTGTGAACGCACCATTGCTATTATATAGGCCGCCCTCTGCGTGTCAATGCACACACTACAATAACATTAAGGCAACTACAGGAATGAAAAGGGACAGGAAAGAACGTCTACCTGGGTGAGAAAGCTGTGCCACAATTAAGGGCTCTGAAGAACGATTTCACAGCACGAAATAGTTCGGTTATGTGTTACAAATGTTCCACTAGGGTTTAGTTAATACACGTTAGCTGATAAATGACGGTCAGCATGATAAGTTTCGCATTAGTAAACTCCTTTACGACGCTAGCCACAGAGCCCTGCAGTAAGACGTTTTTCTTAGCAAAGGTTGCGCATTTTCACGCAACACATTGTTGCTGGTACAATGCAATAATAAGACGTAATGGTTTAAATTATATTTCAATTGTCGCTAATAATAATATTACGTCAAATCAGCCTGACTTCTTTTAAACTAATACTGTTAAATGGCAGACCTCACGCGCTCACCCGCAGGCGGAGAGATACGCGTGTAGGGATAATATATTGTATTATATTGAAGCAATGTATAATAAGGATGAATAACGTAGTTCAGCAAATGTAGTTGATTTGTTTTTTTGTCTCATTTAGACAGTATATGGAAACTGAGAACAAAGACCAGCACCATGCAAGTTGACGATCCCTTTTATTAAAAACGCATCTTTAAAAAAGTTAACTGAATGTAACAGTATGTTTCAACAAAGCAAATTTAAATATAATATCTAACAGTGATGAAATTGTTATGAGAGCTTTGCTGTAATAAGGCCCTCTATAGAGGAATGGACAGTACTCAAGGACTTGCAAAGAAGGTTCAAAGGGGAAAGAGAGTAAACGGGGTCTCTTGTTTCAGATTAAGATACTTTTCAAGCTTACAATAATACGCCGCTAGTCGAGATCCTAGTCACCTGATATCTAACTTCAAGAACACAAATTCTTTTTGGAATTATTATTTTTTTCTGGATGACCCCCACACACACACACACACACAACACACACACACGGTGTCTTTTTCTTGAACTATCTTTGTTACCTTTGCTTTGTTTTGTCACTAATTATTTCACATACACAGCAACTCCTAGGACCCCCTTCCTTCCCTTTGACGAGTCTTTGATCCGGTCACCTGTGCATTCAGATCTCCGAAGATTCAGCGCACTGACCTGTCCGTACAAAAGGCGTGAAATGAAAAGCAACTGCCGATAACGTATGACAACAATGTGTTAGTGAAGATCCAAAATTCAGGGCACACATTGTGGTAATTGTTTGCAAGTCACATCTAATGTCAGAAAAAATGCACGTTTTCTTTCATACACCAGCAAAACGTTTTATAAAACCTATTAACCCACAAAATAATTTTATATGTAAGTTATTAATGTAGTTAAATGCACTGTAACGCAATAGTATAATATAATCATTACATGTAGGTGCAGTTCTATAGTCCGTTATACTCTTAGGTTTATGACTATTATTCCTGGGCATTAGTTTCTGTTGGCCCACCAAAAGACGGTTCTCTACATAACAAAAACTGCAGGAGAAAAACATGACTATATAACCGTCACAGCTTACGGGTTAAATACATTTTTTTAATCTTTCTGCATCCACTTCTTTGATAGAACAAATATAACGGCGTTTGCATTTGGCGTCACAAGATGTCTTAATTGTTTCGCCTTTAGCACTGTTGATGTTATAACGCAAATATTTCATGAAGACATCGGTCCTCTTATCAAAATTTGACACCACGTGCGCTAATGAGATAGACGAGACTTCCTCAGTGCCATATGCCTCGCTAAACTTGTATCCTTTTTTCCACTGTGCTTCGCCCTTCTTATTGGCATCGGACAATTCCAGGTAATGATGCCAATAGTCTTTGACCTGGAAGCTCTGTCTGTCGTATTGCAAGAGCCGGATGGTTGGGTTGTGAACAGGCTGGTTTAAGTAAACTGGGGGAATATGAGAACTCCATGGTGTCACGGAAGGTGCTATCAGTGCAAATACTACTGGTTCACCTGTTTTAAAAAGTGTTAAAAAGCTCTTTATTTAGAAATAACATTTTAGCATATATATCATGGTACATTAATTACGGTAAACATACAGTAAACCGTTTTTCTGTTCTGAAAGATTTATTACTACTAGTACAATTAGTTACTGGATACTATAGCTTCCACTATTTGTTCATGTCATACGTACCCTGATCGTACCAAAGTTTGAACGTGTCAGTATGTTGATGACCGTAAAACATGGCTGCTATGGTTTTCTTGTGTTTAATGATAAGGTCATTCAATCTCTGGTTGAATTGTCGTCTCAGAATTGAATGGCCTTCCTCAGACATGCCCGGTGGAATATGTGCAATCACGTAGGCCTAGTCAAATATCATGGGCATAATTAGCGTAAATAAGAATGGATTAAAGGCTTTGGGTATTTATAGTTATTCCTTTCACATAACATATTCATACATATCAAAATTTACTAATCAACAAAGACAAAGCACGATCCAGCCTGTATCTTAAGATTAAATTGCCCTACATTATAAAGTCCGTGTACATCTTTATTTCTTTTACCTTATTACCATTTTCAGCTGCTTGTTCTAAGACCTGATCAAACCACTGAAATTGTCCTGCAGGGTCGGTCATGTCAGCAGTCACTTGGTTGTTGGTATAATACAAGTTTGTGTTCAACACAACGATCACCAACCCTTCTCTGATACTAATGGTGTAGTAGCCCCCTATGTCGAAATTCAACATGGAAAAGTAAATTGCCATTAACTTTCTATCTAAGCATATTGAATATTTTAATATTAAAATAACTCGAAATTTTGACTAAAGTTGATATCTCAAAATTTCAAAATACAATTAAACTGGGAGCAATGTTCATCCGAATGTCCCAAAATTTCGAGACATTAAGTCGAAATGTTGAGTTAATAACCCCATATTTCGAGTTCCCGACGCGAAATTTTGAGATATTATCACGAGTTTACTGAATCTAATTCTTCCATCTCCAGACTGGGTTAAAAAAAACGGTCGGATGTACTTAGCAAACTGTTTTTAACCAATTGATGACTAAATCAGTCTATCTACATATACTGCCTACATAAGATAATGGTTATCAATTACACGTGGGCTCTATTCATGACATAGACCAGGACAGTGGGGATCTGAATACAGTGTCCATAAAATATGAAAATAAGAATATTTAAAGAATAGTCATTATTAAACAGAATTTAGTCGGTTCACAGCAAAAAGATTTTTTGTGTCAATGATTCAATGGCCCGGCGTAACATATAGATGCAATAACCTTTCAGTAGTGTTTTCTTTGCCGTGGAATCGCGGTACCATCGTTGCCACATGTTTGCTGCTGCGTAGTAAATGTTATTTTCATGCGGCGGAAATTGGTCTGGCGGGGAGTAGTCATGGTTACCGAAGGCCGCATATACCACCGTATTCGGAAATACTTCAATAAATAGATTAGTCACATCGTGAATGATGCTGATGGTATTTTCAACGCTGTTCTTTCTGTGAGGTCCTGTATCTCTATAATAATAATAATAATAATAATAATATCTATTATCCTTATGATAACTGAAAAAGTACAATAAAAAGAATATTGTCATTCTCTTTAACTTTTTTAATTACTGATGTTGTGAAGTTTGACTTAGAGCCGCTGGTAAAATGTGACAAAGACGATTCGTTCATAGCACCAAAGTAACACCGATTTGATTTATTCAAAGAACCATAGGTTTGCCAAGAAAACTAAAAAATCTGAAAATCTTAAAGCGCAAAGTGCGTGAGTAGGTATTTTTATAATTAACCAGATAGAAAGATCACAACGTGACATTTTGGTTATAATTCAGAGCTGGTTGTAAGAATAAAGAAGAAAACAGTACCCTGTCCAGAGTATAAAGTCTGCGTTAGGTTCAATCTGCTTCATGGCGTGTAAAGAGCTGTTGACAAGAGACCAGGGGGAGTCATTGACATAGTCACCGTACGGCTTCTGCTGAGTGTCTGGGAATACATTGGGGTCATAGTGGAGGTCAGCCACGTGCCAGAAGAAGCCTGTCAAGACGACAAAAAAAAAAAAAAAAAAAAAAAAAA